TGACATGGTGATCTCCAATAGACAGGCAGTTTTTTCTCCTCTCCAAAATCCCTAAGAAAACAGAGCTTCTTGTGTTTTTGCTTTGAGTTGTTTGTTTGTTTGTTTCATTTTGAGACAGAGCTGTCCTGTGTAGTCCACAACAACCTTTTAAACCACTACGTAAACTGAGCAGGGTGGTGCATGCCTGTTACCCCAGTGCTAGGGAGGCTGAGATAACAGAATCATTGTGAGTTTGAGGCCAGTATGGGCTACAAAATGGTATGACCCACCTGAGGTGGGTATGACCCACCTGAACTGCAGAGTGAAACCTTGTCTCAAAAACACACACACAAAAAAAACCCCAACTGTGTAACCAAGGCTGGCCTTGAACTCTCTTTCTTCTGTGTCAGCCTCCCAAGTGTGGGATTGCAAGCATGCCCATGTTCCTAGCTATAACACCACAGCTTCTGTTCTCAAAGTTGTTGAACTTGGAAAACTGTGACTCACTGGAACAAAACTGTGGTTGTGGCTGGCAGTGCTACCCTCTCAACTCTGCCCCAGCTCATGTTCTTAGATTTCATCCTTATTCGTTAAGCTTATCTCAGCTGAACATCCTAGCCTGTCTGGGGCAACAAAGACCAAGTGTACCTCCCTGTCCTTGAGGATAGTGTTGGGTTTAAGAGTGTCTGTTGGGGTTTTGTAGTGGCCTCTTTTGATTTCCAAATTCTGTCCACACAAAATTCTTTCAATACTGTTGCCTGTGATATAGAGGAGCAATATAACACCCAGTCTACTACATATTAGACATGACAAATTTCTGCTCTGCAACATCAAAGAATGAATTCTAAGCAACAAGGGTGGTTAAGAGTAGGAAAATTGAGAAAGATAAGTTGTGAGAGAAAGGAGACCAGCAAATGGGTTGCCCAAAGAATCGATTCCTCTTTCAAAGATTTATACAACACAGTCATGGGGCAGATGCAACATGAGTCAAATTAGAATCAGCCAATACCAGTGCATGTACAGCCACTTAGCCAAAAGTGAGAAAGTATGGTAAGGGCCTATGGATGACATCATTCAGCTTTGTCAATAATCTACAGTGTTAGCCTTACCTTTCATCTTAGTTTTACTTACCCCTAATGAGATTATGCTCTGTTCATATGTGACATTCCAAAAGGTGGTGCCAAAATCTCAAATTTCCATTCATCCCTTAGGATGTCTGGAAATCTGGCCATTGTGAATTGAATCTTCTTCGGATGCACCTCCAGCCACAGTTTTGTTGCATTCTGATTTTGTGCACTGTTTCTCTCCAGAATCTAACACTAACTATTGATAGAATTTTTACTTAGCTTGGTTGTCTATGATACATAAAATTCTCAAAAATGTCCCAAGCATTTGAAATTATTTGGGTCTTTCACAAAGTCACACAATGGCATGCTCCTGCTCACTTCACATAAGAATTTAGGCCTGGTTTCCTACACTGAGAACTGACTTAGGTCTTTTTACCCCAGTACTGTGGAAGGAAACCTGGGCCTGTGAACTGAGCTATATTCACAACACTTTGCTTTTTATGTTTTGGTGGGTTTTTTTGTTTGATTTTTTTTTCCTGTACCAGGAATCAAATTCACAACCTTGCACTTGCCAGCCAGGTGCTGTGTCACTGAGCTAAATTCCCAGCCCTTGGTTTTGTTTTTTGGAGAAAAGGTCTCACATGTAACTCAGGCTGGCCTTGAGCTCTCTACATAGACCAGGATGGTCTCACTCCATGGTGAGTTTTCAGACCCATTCCCCCTAGTGCTGGATCACAGGAAGGTGCAACTACTGTTAGCCCATTTACTTTTGAAATTTTTGAATTTTAAGAAAGGTTCTCACTAAATTGTCAAACTACCCAAGCTGGGCTCAAACTTGCAATACTCTTACTTTTGCCTCCCAGAGTGCTGGAATTACAGGCAGGGGTCACCAGGCCTAGATTTCCCCTGAGTTTTCAACAGCCTATGTGGTCCCTCTTCTCCCAGAGTGGGGACATGATTTGCTGTCAGGAAACACAGAACCCAAAGCACCACTGATATGTGGACACTGCTCTTGTGCTTATCCTGAGGATGACATGACTGACTTCTACAGTTGTTCTAAATCTGGAATACTTTGATAATTTCTATGTGCCCAAACAACCCCTAACCACAGACTTTCAGGTTTGATATTCTTCTGCCAGTGTCAGGACTGGATAACAGCCTGCCCCATCTCACACACAGAGCTATGGCAGTCACATGAGAGTAGAACTCAACAATGATGTGGAGTCTATCAGCGCATGGGTCCTGGGTTTCCAAGTCTTTAGTTCTTAACTTTCAAAATGGAACCTTTCCTCCTATGTCTGTATTAATCTGGAGAAAGCTGAGAGGCAGCAGGATTATTTGGGTGGAGGCTCAGTATCAACACTGAGTGGAAAGCACTGTCTGAAGAGGGAGGAAGGATCAGGAGTCAATAAAAGCCTCTGAGGAGCCATCCCAGATCCTGAAGCCTGGAGTCACTGCCTGAATTCCAGGGAGCCTGAAAACCCGGCCACCTCATCCAGCCCTGGTGAGTCACCACCCTCCACAGCACATGCACCCCTCTGCCCTTAGCCAGTCTCCCCTGTGACCTGCAGCCCAAGATGCCCTTAATGTTAGTGTTTTTGCAGATTCAGATGCATATATATGAGGTTAGATTTTCCCTTAATATACAGATTTCCATTCACCTAAAATAACTTGATTTCCGCTGTAAATATCTTTTTTTTCCCCTTGTCTTTTTGAGACAGAATCTCTGTCATGCAGTTCAGGCTGGACTTGCGTCCCTTTGTAGCCCAGGCTGGCCTCAGATGCACAAAAGTCCTCCTCCCTCAGCCTGTGGAGTGCTGGGATTACAAACATGCACCACCGTGCCTGACCTAAATTTGTTTTCCGGTTTTTTTTTTTTTTCTTTTAGTGTATTTAAGAGATAGTCTCACTATGTAATTCCAGCTGCTCTTAAATACATTCTGTATGCCATGGCAGCCTCAATCTCAAAATAATGACCGCTTCAGCCTCCCAATTGCTAGGGTTTCAGGCTTGTTCCACTATACCTATCCATCAATGCCAACCTGTAATGCATTAATTTGTTAATAATTTGTCATATCAGGATTTGAACCTAGGGCCTTTGCACTGAGCTACATCTCAGCCTATTGGTTATGTTTCATTTTTGTACAAAGTGTCAGATGCTGCATACTCCAGGATGAATTCAAATTTGTGATTATCCTGCCTCTGCATCCAGTGTGTTGGGTTTACTCAGCTGTGTGACCACTCATGGTTTGTTTATTTCCCTGAGAAGTTAGCATGTTACCTTAGCTGAGAACCCATTTTATTACATCCACAGCTATCAATTTTGCGGGATCTCAGGAGAAGGTTCTGTCAACATGTAGCTACAGCTGGAGGCAAATTTCATTACCTTTCAAATGTTTTTGTCTCCCAAAGGCACCAAGTTCCCAAGGCTGGGTTTCAACTTCTGACCATCCTCATTCAGTCTCACAGATGCTGGAATAAAGTCCAGGCAGTACCATTGCCATATAGGATATTTCAATACTTTCCCTCTGCTCCCAAAAATTATTACCAACTTTGTGATCATATGAATGAATTGGAAAGGGGATTACTTTGCGGCAGACTTGGAAGTTTGTAGTAAGCAGATAATCTGCTTTATCAGTTGCATCTGTTAGTGATTATAATGAAGGAGTTGAAAACAGCAGTATGCCCTTGGGGGCTTTAGTGAGATTTCAGAATCAGAAACATAAATCCTCAGCGCAAGATATCAGAAAAGTTAGTGTTATCATGCTGTTGTTTGCTTTTTGTTTGTAGCTCAGGTTGGGTTAGATTTAAACTCACTGTATAGCCCAGGACGGCATTGAGTTCCCAGGGACCCTCCATCCCCACCTCCAGAGTGCTGCGATTAGAGGTGTGGCCACCACACCTGGATGACATCAGTACATTCCCAGGGGCATCTTTGGCAGCATCTTAGATATCTTAGGGCATTAAGTAAAGCAAAATAAAGAAAAATGAGATGAATGAATGCTATATAAGCAACTTTTTGATGCAGGGATGCTGGTGATCTGCAGAGGTGGGTTACAGTGCACCCATAATCAGCAGGAAGAATGACTGAATAGGGCTCTCATACTGGCTATTTGCAAACCTCCCAGGACAAAAGAACTGTGGAGGACATCCGTGCTTTACACAAAATTGAGAGGGTTTCTGTGAACAAACATCAATTAGATTCTAAAGAAAAATTCTGGAATGAATAAGGCCCTAACCTCTAAACTGTGACTTCATGAGGTTATACTATATTGGAATCCAGCACTGGTCTTCACAGCCCAAGAAAACTGCAAGTCACTGCTCACACCAGTGAGTGCTTATCCCACCGAGTCTGTTTCCATTGCCAGGTAATGGACAAGCCAGGGAACCAAGGGGAGAGGGACGCACATCAGAACAGTCACTGCTTTTGCCAGCTCTGGTTTAGGGGAAAAATCCGGGACTCTACAATCATATGAAATAAAAATTCATGGGATTCATTGTTTAATTTTTCTTAGCCAGGTGCATTTTTGGAACTGATAAGTTAGAGACTAGGCCATAGGACTTTCCATTTTCTTGGTTCTATTTCCTTGTGGTGAGGATCAGAATATTTTCCCAAACCTGGTGGAAGTCAGTCTCAGATTCCCTGGCTCCCATTTCAAAGACTGTAGGAACTACGGGTGTTGTGAAAGTAAATGCGCATTTTGCTCTCACCCTGGTTCATAAAGGAGACATCAGACATTCTTCCTGGGCTCACTGCAGGCAGAAGTAAGGCTCTGGGACCAGAAACCAAATTAGTGTGGGACGGACTGAGGGCTTTTCTGCCTGTCAGACCAGAGATTTTTTGGCTGCAGGTTGGTTTCCTGACAGGTGAGAAGGGGTTTCTCAGCCTTGTCTGAAAGTACAACTTTCTCCTCAGTGTGTCGCCAGCACCCCAGGCATTCCAGATTCACCACGATGAGCACCCAGCCGGTACGTATGCTAAAGAAATTAGCCGTTGAAAGCTTGCTGAAGGACAAGGCCTTGGCTCTGGAGGCCCTGGAAGATTTGCCAGGGGAGCTCTTCCCACCAGTGTTCATGGAGGCCTTCACCAGGGGGCACGCAGAGGTCCTCAAGGCCATGGTGCTGTCCTGGCCCTTCCCCTACCTGCCCCTGGGAGCCCTGATGACCATGAGGAAAGCAGAGACTTTGAACACTCAGGTGGATGCTGACCAGATTCATAAAAGGATGTTACAGGCTGTGCTGGATGGGCTCGATGTGCTGCTGAGCCAGAAGGTTCCCTCCAGGTGAGTGGAACCCCCCAGGTATCCTGCAGGGAGGGCCCCAGATTCCAGGAAGGGCAGAAAGTGTCAGGGAGAGTGGGGTTAAAGGGTGAAGCAGGATCTTCTGATAGTGACTGGCAGAGGATCAGAGAAGCCTCGGGCATTGCTGGCCCACCTGGGCAGGCACTGCCATATTTGGAGCTCAGCTGAGGGTGGAGGTGAAAGGAGCTAGATGTTCCTGACTTCTCCCACAGGCACCTGGAGTCAGGACTGGGCTGAACCCAAGGGGAAAGGAGAAGCAGAGAACTGTAACATAGAAAAAGTAGTGGAAATAGCAACGGACCTCAGAGATGAGGAAGGCACAGGAGGAAGTTCAGTGTTGGCATAAACTCTCAGACTCATTCCTGGTTCACCCATAGGAGGCTGAAACTGCAAGTGCTAGATATGCAGGTCGAGCACCAGAAATTCTGGAGAGTCTGGGCTGGAAACGAGTTGGAAGTCTGCTCTGAAAAAGCCATGAACAAGAGAAAAACAGAGGAGCCTGGGTCAAGGGTAGCAGTAAAGCAGCCCCTCAAGGTGACTTTAGATCTCTGGCTCAGTCAGGGATGTCTGTGTCCACAGGAGGCCTACCTGTTCAAGTGGGCCCAGGACAGGGAAGATCTGGTGCAGCTGGAGTGTAAGAATCTGTGTATTACAACCATGTGCTTTCCCACGGCCAGAGAGTTCCTGACAATGCTCTCCCTGGATTCTGTGAAGGAGGTGCATGTGGGTCACTGCTGGACACTCTTTACCTTGGCTGAGTTTGCCCCTTTCCTCGGCCAGATGCAAAATCTTCAAAAACTAATTATTTCTGACGTGTATGTGCCTGCCATCCTTTCCTCAGAGAAGAGAGAGGAGGTGTTCACTCAAATCACCTCTCAGTTTGTCAAGCTTCACTGTCTTCAAGAGATTTATATGCATTCTGTCAACTGGCTGGAAGACCACTTGGACCGGGTACTCAGGTAAGATGTGCAGCTCTCTCTGCACATGTGCACTCCCAAGGGATATGACAGGGATCAACACACAGCCTTTTTCACCCCCCCAGTGCTGCAACATGGTGTCCCTGAGCCACTGTATTGGAGCATCCAGACTGGACAGGGCCACTATGCTAGGATGCCAGGAAGAGGATCAGAGAGAGGGAAAGTGGGTGTGTGACTTCTTCCTCAGGAATCCCTCCTACGGGAAGGTGCTGAGAAACACGAAGGCATCTCTGATCCCCCAGCTGTCCCCATGAGAAGACTCTGCCCCAGGACGGGCTGGTGACCAGATGGAGGTGCAGGGGTCTGAGGCTGAGGGCAGGGAACACTGGTGAAGGGCAGGGAACAGGCACACAAACTGCTGGGAGCTTCTTTAGGAATCCCAGTAGCTGTGGTCACATCTTGCCTGATGTTTGCTCCCTGCCTGGCTCCTACTGCCCTCATCAGGAAAGAGTTGTGGTTTCTGCTTGAGAGTGAGGAGAGGGGACTGCACAGATCCAAGATTCATTCAAGCAGGTGATGATAAATTTGCACCCACCTAGGCTGACTCGTGTGACACTTGGTACACCGTCTTGCTGTTCTCACCAAATGCAGGTCTAACTGCCTGGTCTCTCTGCAGGTGCCTCCCGTCCCCGCTGAAGACCCTCTCATTATCTCACTGCCAGCTCTCACACTCTGACTGGATCAAGCTGCCCCAGGCTGTGCAGACCAGACAGCTAAAACACTTAGATTTGAGTTATGTCAGGCTGGCTGATTTTAGCCCTGAGCCCCTCCAAGTTCTGTTCATGAACGTTGCAGCCACCCTGACCATCCTGCACTTGGAAAACTGTGGGATCACAGATGCGCAGGTCTGTGCCTTTCTGCCGTCCCTGAGCTGCTGCTCCCAGCTCACTACCTTCTGTTTCATAAGGAATTTTATATCCATAAACACTATGAAGAAGCTGCTGTGCCACACCGCCAGGCTGAGCAACTTAAACCAGGAGCTGTACTCTGTTCCTCAAGAGCTTTATGCTCCCAGGGATAGTTTCCTCCAGCAGATAATCAACCAGGTTCCTGAAGAACTGAGTAGGATCATGAAGTCACTAAATCATCCCAGGACAGTCTGGTTTTGTATTGTTCATTGCAAACTCTGTTGCCCTGGCAAATTCCAGAACATGCACCCTACACCATGCTGTGGCTGCATCCCCATCTAGTTGAATGCACATATCATATGTTATCTCCTGGGAACCAGGAACACAGAGCTCTTCTTCCAGTGTGAGTGACAGAAGTACAGCTGGGCCAGCCGGCAGCAACCATGGACAGTTACTGACTTGAGAGGAGAAGTGACCTTTGTGGAGTGAGGATCTAGACAGGAGCAGATCTAGGAATCTCAGTTGTTAGATGTCAATTCAGGCTTGAGAAGAATGAGTGTATGGTTGTACAGAAATTGTCAGAAATAAAGAGATTTGCATATGAATCATCTGGTTTCTGCCATGATTATTTTACCTGGTTTCTGGCTCAGAGCTCATGAAATTGCAGTCACTGGGGAGAAAAGGCCCTGACTTGTCTCATCAACGCGGTTTGACCTCAGGAACTCAAGACACCAACAGAGATATTCCATGTTGTTCATTCCCTCCCATCCTTTGGTTTCACCATCCACTGCTTCCCTCCATGCTTCCTGGTATTTCTCCCCCTTCCTAACATGCCTTCGTCACTGGGACTCAGTGTAGAACCAGCCCACTGAGCTGCAGCCACAGAAATTTCCGTTTCCAGACCAAGTCCTTCTAGATATCTGGACTTTACTTGCACTTATGATTCTTTCATCTAACTTTCTAGAAAGCTGTGATTACAGTCATGGACCTGTATGCTCAGCCTTTTCCTCCTCATTTCCGTGGCCCTCTTGGATTAATCTTTGGCTGCCAACCTGAAATGCATGGATGAGATTAATTCTCTAAATTACAGTCTTTTTGAAGTGCAAGAGCTGTGGTCTGGACCATGCCTGCTATGGGAGCCACTGGGAATCCTAGGGAAGCTTCCTGGGAAAGTGAATCTGTGTGAGCTGCTGTGACAACAAACCTTTTGCTGACAGGATCCTGTGCCACAAGAGCCACAACAAGGCTGGGAACAGTGAGGTATATTGGGAAAACTTCCCTGGGACCCTTATTGTTAACCTGACACCAAAATTCTCAGCATGGATCATGGGTAGCTCTAGAAGTCTTATTTTTTCGTTCTTGGCCCTGCAAACAAAGTATTTCACTGCCCAGGCATTGGTGAAGTAGGCATTCCAAGGAGCTGAAGTTACACCATAGTGTATGGAAACAAAACACTGAATAGCAATGCAGCTTAATGCTGAGGCTCATGGCTTAATTGCCAGTACTATGAAACACAGAGCAAGTCACAAGTCCTCTAGTTCATTTCGATCCAGTACACCTCAATTCATGAATTTATTTTCACTCAAATGATACATTCTTCAGCCTTATATTCTCTTTCAGGCTGAAGGTCCTTGTTACTGCCTGTGGGTCCATCCTGCCTGGGAAATGTCCCCTGTGGGCAGAACCCTGACACTAAAGGCAAAGGCCATGGGTCAGACCCACTAGGATGACAGGGTCTTGGGGTTGGACCCATGTTTCCTCCTCTCCAACATCCCCAAGGAGACCTGGACATGTGTGACCCCCTCGTCTGCCCATAGGAGCTGCACTCTCAGCTCTGCAACAGCTCCTGTATGAGATTTCACATTCTCAAGCCAGTTCACTTTGCTGATCCCATTGGAAACACCTCTTTTTACAAGGATGTTTAGCAATTATACAACTGGTTAGATAACAATTAGTACATAAGAATATATTTTGTTGCCATTCCATCCTTCCTCTTAACAGTAGGTGAGGAGTATAAACACATATGTTTACTTTTGTATATCCATGTCTTTGCAATACTCTTTTGACTTGTCCTCCACTGATTGGCCACAGAAGTCCAGTTTGCAGAAGTCCAGCATGAAAAGGCAGGGATAGCTTGTATAAAGTATGTTGTATGGGCCCAGTTTTGTCATTGATAATGAGTCTGGGGAGGGGGAAATTGAGGCCTCTATCCAACTGTGTAACATTGGACAAGGCATCTGAGGTCATGATATAGTCAGGAAAGCCAAAGAAGGAAATCTCATACCAATCTCAATCATTTTCCAGAAGGACTCTTCTGGGGAACAATCTACAAAGCAATAATTAGTGTGTAGCCCATCTGTGGTATGGATCCTTGAAATCTGCCAAGAGCCTAAATCACTTTTTCAAAATGAGGGGCCTGAGACTTTGGAATATAGATACAATGTTAGCTTTACAATCTCTTATAAGGTTACTCTCTGAGGGAATAGAATTTAAGGTTAATGAAGCAAATTGTCCTTTAGGCAGTTGTATTTTTAAAATCTAATCTATAGCTGATGTACAGTGGCTAGAATCCTGCTGTAGATGGCCTATACACAAAGGTGGAAAGACAAAATGAGATGTCATGTTAAGCTTAGTCTGTTTTGGTAAGTGTATTAAAATTTATGGGCAAGCCAGGTGTGGCTGCAAATATCTGTAATCACGGCCCTTGGGAGGTTGAGGTAGGAGCATCGGTGTCAGTTTGAGGACTTCCTGGGCTACAAAGAGAGCTCAAGGCCAGCCTGAGCTACATAGCAAGACCCTGGCCCCCCAAAAAATTATGGGCTGGGAGAACAATATATAAAGCATCATTGTTTTTTATAGAGTGGAAAATTTCTCTGGCACTGTCTATGTAAGGGGTTTAAGCAAGGGTGAATTAGGTACATAGTGCCAGTATTCTTTACCTGAAAGCACAGGGATATGATGGAAATGACTATGAAGCAGCCATGAGCAGAACATAAATTAACCAATGGGCTTTTCCTGTGTAGTTGTGAATCTGTCCAAAGCCTAGGCCACTTGTTTGGAAAAGGGCAGCAGACTCAATAAGTGATCCTCTGTGAGTCACTGATCCCTCCTGAGGCACTTAATGGCAGGTGAAGCCAGAAAGCCTCAAAGGATAAGAAAAGATCACAGCCAAGTACACCTGGAGGCAATCTGAACTAGATAAAGACTATATTCTCAGGAATCTCACTATTGGGTGGATTAATTTAATACCTTACTTGGAGAAGTCCTTGAGCAATTCCCACCCTTGAGCACTCTGCTCCCTATGCCTGATAACTAAATAAATACAGGCCACCCGGAAAAGGTCTTGCTCTTAGCCCTGGGAGAATCTCAAATCTGTGTGAAAGCTTTGATCCTCCTGGAGCCCTGAAGCCATTCCATTTGCCTGTTTTATTCAGCCTTCACTGTGCACTCATTGGGCGACTGCGGATCTGATCAGTCTGCAGTAAATAAGGGACATTATTAACCCAATAGGAATACATACTGTAGCTGCTCACAGAGCAAGTATGATAAGGAAAAGATTTTCAGATGTGTAGCGGATTGACAACTGGTGGTCAACGTATAACTACCAGCAGAACTGAGTAAGCATGGTGCTGGGTGTGGGACACCCACCCGAGGACAGTTTCCATCAGCATGAGAGGCAGACCTCACAAAGAAGCAGGATTTCAGGAATTAAAGAGGCTTTTGGGGGCTGGGGATTTAGCTTTTAATTTGGATGGGAGACCTCTGAGCAGAGTGTGCTTTGGTGGGCACGAATGAGCATTGCCCATTTTATGACCAGATCAAAAGTGATGGGGCTGGGGATTTAGCTCAGGGGCAAAAGCGCCTGCCTGGCAAGCGCAAGGTCATGAGTTCAGTTCCCGGTACCGGAGAAAAACCAAAAAAAAAAAAAAAAAAAAAAAAAAAAAAAAAAAAAAAAGAAGCTTTTGGGATCTGAGAGAGGCTATCAGGAGTTGGTAGAAGCTCTAAGGAGCTGTTGATTGTTTGGAGGAGGTTGTCATGCTGGGTTTGCAATGAACATGGTTGTTTTCATCCTCCAAGGAGCTCGGGAACTCGTTGGCACTGAGAATGGCTTTGGTTCCCTTTGAGGGAGCTCTCGTCCTCACTTTCAGCATTGCTTCCTGTCTCTTGAGGGGAAGAAGGTGCACCGCAGGTGTCCAAGAGAAGCTTGCTGTGTTGATTTCCCTGGTGGGAACTCAGCCATCTTGAATCATTGGGGGAGCTCTGGACCTCACTGTTGCTCAGGATGGCTGTGCTACTTTTTAGAGGAGCTCTGGTTCTTCAGAGTGCCGCTTCCTGACTTCAGTGCACATCCCTCAGCCTGACAGTACAGAACCTTCATCCCGCTGGCACAGACCTCCCAGATTCCACCACTGAACTTTGGGCCTTCCTAGCACAGATCTGTGGAACAGGCCTGCATGGGATGTAGTTATGGGCTCTGGGCCTCCAGCTGGAGTCATGGGAGGCATTATTATGAGCTCCTGGTCTTTAGCTGGACTCATGCAGGACATATCTGTGTGATCCTGGCCCTCAGCTAGATTCCTTGGTCTTATTGTGTGGACAGATTTCAGGTACTCTTTCGTATATCATTCTTTGAGTGACTATTATACTTTTTTTTACTTTTTGGTTTTTTTTTCCAGTACCAGGAATCAAACTCACGACCTTGCACTTGCCAGGCAGGCACTGTGCTGCTGAGCTAAATCCCCAGCCCCTGAGTGCCTATTATAAATAATCATACGGAATATTTTCCTGTATTATATTGTTCCCCTGGCAAAATATCCTCCCAAACCATAACAAGGTGAAAAAAACAAACCTGGGCTGTCAAGTATGTGGTAAGCCTCACGAACTGTCTGCTGCAGGCCTTCTCAGAACAGTGGACAATGTGCTATCAGGTTTATTGCTTGATATGTTGGCAGAGGGCTTGATATGTGTGTAGGTGGCTTGGGAAAGGTCTTCATAATTCCTTTAGAGTCGCTCTGGCGCCACCTACTGGAGACAATATGCCATGGCCAATATGGCACTGGCCCTCAGAGGCCATGTGCTATTCCCCGCCCTTCTTCCCAGGGTCAAATTACAACTTCCTTCTCCTCTTTATGTAATATCCTGTTTCATTTTCCCAAGCTCCCACCCAATGCTAGCCTAGCACTTCAGCAAGCCCACCCCCTAAACTCTGCCTGTAGCCTGACCATATATAACCATTGTCCCCTTTGTCCACCCCAGAAGATTTGTCCCCTTGCAACCCCTCCCACTCATGGTCTTCTCCGGGCCCTGTAATAAAAGCATTTTATTGTTTTATTACTCTCTGT